CGGGGCAGACCCTCGGCACGGCAGCGGTGCTGCTGCGCCTCCGCCGCCTCAGCCCCCTTCCCGCCGGAACGGGTCCTCCTTTTACTTAAAACAATGGCGGGAGCGGGGGCCGCGCAGCCTCTTCTCCTCCTTCTGCACACGCAGATGCGCCGTCACCCCGCACCGTCACCCACCTCTAGCCCGGCAGCGGGGGCCGCGCAGCCTCTTCTCCTCCTTCTGCACACGCAGATGCGCCGTCACCCCGCACCGTCACCCACCTCTAGCCAGCGGGGTGGCACCGGGGGTTAAGTGGGGAAGCAGGCAGTCTTAAAGTACCTACCAAGGCAAAAAACTAACAATAAAGGCGCTTAAATCCTTTTTCTTTTTTCCTTTTGGCTCGCGCTTTTATGTGCCCTCATTTTTGAGCCAATATAAGGTACTGCAAGGTAAATGGGCCAAGCATGCTACATAAACCTTTAAAAAAAAATAGAAAAATGTTAAGTCACTTAGAGGAATTCCCTGCCCAGAGCGTTACTGCAAAATCCTATTTAATTTGCAGTGTGCTTTACACTCTCTTGCAGGTGCTAAAAAGACAGAAAGAAAAAACCTCAGTCACAAATCATTCACTGATTCAAAATGGAAGCTCACGGCCCTGCAGCTGTCTTCATGTGGAGCTCACGGTCCTCCATTACCTGGAGATACCACCTGGCCCACAGCAAAACAGCACAGCCTTCTGCTTTAGCTCTGTTTTTAGGGTGAGGAGGGGGTGCATTTTGGAATGATATCCTCTGGAAGAAGGGGGAGCTGTGATGAGGGCCATAAGTAACGGCCAACTTGTTTTTTTGCTGCTTTCTCAACCCACCACGACGTCACCAGCTACTCGCTTTTCAGCCAGCCTGACAGGGAGCACTCACAGCCCCCGTGGCCCCTTCTCCATTTGCATTCACCTCCCCTTTCCACCTCTGGCTCAGAAGTTCCACCCAGAAGGAGGATATTCTGGAAGTAGCTATATTTATCAGTACCAGCAGGGTTGGATTTCCTAAAATCAAGGTGGGCAGGTAGGAGAACTAGCCATTTCATCACTGCCTGCAATTCAGGCAAGATCTGTTACAGCGTTTCGCTCTTTTTCACCTTAGCAGCTGAAATGTTGCAGCCACCACAAGCTCTCTGACCAGAGGAAAAGTGATTAAAGAGAGGACGCGTTCCCCACCGCCTTGTCCTCATTCGAAGGGGGGTGGACGGAGAGGTTGCTGAATGCTGACAGAGACGAGACGGCAAACGGATAGTCACGTGGACCCTGGTTCAGGAGATGCGAACAATTCAGAGAACAAGGTGTTTCTGTGGTCAGGGACTGAATCACAGTGTACTTCAGCACTGATAATTCTGCATTTAGGTCATATCACTTGCTTCGAGAATAGGCTGTAAGAGGCCCTTTCTCAGGTATTGACCATCACAGACCAACCGAGAACAAAACTCCAGACAGATCACTCAAGACTCTCACCTAGAATGGGACAAGTCCTTCTGGACTGCCCCATTTCTCTAGACACCACTTTTTTTTAAACTCAATTCTTTATACGCTTGAAGGTGACTTCAAAAGAACAAGTCGATCACACCCGTTGCATTTTGCTTTTCACTTTTTTAACTGCTTTTAACTTTGCACATTAAGTGTTCATTAACACCATCCACATTTAAATTGGCGTATTTGTTACTGTTCACTTCGTTTAAACAACTGCTTTTACACTTGTGGCTGAGCATCAAATAGTTGAACTTCCAACCATCAATATCATCCACCCTAAAAAGCTGCACTCCTAAATCAAATGGGGGAGAAGTCCTTACACAGCTACACAAACACACATGCAGCAGCTGTGACTGTCTTGTCCCCAAACAGACATACGGGTCACGAGCATCACACCTCACCTGAGGGCAGCAGCACAGGGCACTCCCGATCCATAGACCAGAAGGGGCAGCAGCATTTGAGAGCGCTCCATGTGCTCTTTCCAGTTATTTTCTCCTTCCACCTGTCAGCAGGACCACCTTTCCAGCCACAGCAACTGCTCAAATCGCTGTGAGCAGCCGTTGTACGGGTATTGCCCAACCCCAGGCTCTTTCATCTAACTTTTACTCTCACAGAGCAAAATAGCAGCAGAATATCCAGCTGTTCAGAGCATTGTTGGGTATTTCCTTTGTTTCATTCACATTTCCAGTAAAACACTTAAAAAAAAAAACCAACCAAACCCACAACCAACCTGGGAAGATGGCTCTCCCGGAACAGCTATTGTTCACTACGGGCACTGAAATAAAGTATTTTTTTGGCGCCTCGCTGCCCTCAAAACCCTGGTGCCATAGGCTACACCGTAGCACTTCTTGCTAGCACCAAGAAGCCAGTGCAGGGAAGCAACAAGCTTTGGGGGAGCAACGAGACTTTTCTCACCAGAATCACTGGCAAGCGGGTGTACGAGCATAGAGGGAGAGCAGCAGGTGCAAGAACATTTTTGTTTATCTTTCAAATGGCACTAGATAACGGGAAACTCACCTGCTCAAAGCTGGTAGCTGCCTCCAGGCTCATTTTTTGTGGACCCGTGACCTGGCAGGAGTAACAGCGCTTATCTCCGTTAGAACAACTCCAAGGGTTGATCAGCCAACTCCACTGCTGTTTGCTCCAGGGAGGTTGCTGTCAGGAGCGGCAGATTTCTGTAAAGAAATGGTCATTCCCTCGCCTACACCGGGAGCTGGTGCAGCTGCACACAGCCCAGCCCCTCAAGCAAACGCTCCATCGGTTTTTAAGCAAACCCTTGGCGCTGTGGTCATCCATGTCAAAATGTGGTGAGATTTCCCAGCTGCAACTCTGAAACACACGAGAGCAAAGACAGACCCCGCGGAGCTGACCATGTACCTCCTCGTGCAGCAGTTATGGGTGGCTCAGCGTGGCCCAAGCAACGGCCAGAAGAACCACCCCTCCAGCCCGCTAACTTTTTGATGTAGCGGAGAGAGAGGAGAAGGCCCGTGGGGGTTCACACAGTGCCTACACCACTGGGGTACTACGATATCCTTGGAGCCTGCCCATGAGTTCCCAAAGCAGGCCCAGCCACCCCGGTTTCTAGCATCCTTGCTTCAAAAGCAGTTGCTTGGTGAGCAAAACGCTGGGAAGAGAAGGACCAAGAGCAGGGAAGGCAAGTGGCGCTGAACAGAGAGGAGGTGACTGCCAGTTTCCTGGCAGCACTTGCCATGCACACTGCGTTTCACTCCATGCTTCTCAACAGAGAGTGCCGAGCTGCTCAAACCGTGCGGTTTCCCCTTTCGGGGGTTTCCCCTCTCGGGTGCTGCCTACTGTAGCAGGGGCCCGGGGGCACGTCCTGAGGCACAGCTGAGCGCCCTTGTTCTCAGGCATCCTATCAGGAGAGCTGCGCAAGGCAAGCCGGCTGCACTGCACGGATCAGAGGGGCAGCATAGCAACAGATTATTAAAAAAAAAGCGCTATCCAGATTAACCTTTAATCCAACCAACACATGCATGCGAAAGGACAAGCCATTATGAGTTTCTAGTGCCAGCCAGCCTCTGCAGCATTGGCAGGGGTAGGAAGAAACAATCTCCGGAGTAGGTTTTCCCGTACCTCTGCACTGCAGTTTCTTACAACTTCACCTCACTCACTAGCTGCTGCCAGAACGTTAGTGGCTGGCTGGAGTCCTGCTCCGATGCCATCACTCAAATCCAGCCTGCCTGGCTCAGGGCAAGCAGGCTGATTGCGCTTTGGTAACGCAGGCAAGACATAACCATGCTGCCTTGAGCCACGACCGACTCAGGAAACACACCCCACCCCCCTCCGCTTTTGCTCCGCGTGCTTTTGTGATTGACGTCATAGCTGCGTTCGGATGCAGGGCTCACCCCCACATTACATCTACTAAAGACATCTCACACAGCCCCATTCGCTTCCTGAGGTGCCTCGATCCCCTCCACAGAGGATGGAGGGGCACCCACCTTGAGGGAGCAAGTCAGAAACCAAAGTGGCCTAAATGATACTGTGGGATTCTCTCCACGGAGTATCAGCAGTCCCAGGATTTAGGCTCCTCGGCGAAGCCCTGCGTTACCTGCAGTGAATCAGGGGACGAACTTGACCCAGGAGCTGCTGTGCTCCCGGGGAACTCCTTGGAAGCCCTGCAGGCCAACCCACTGGAGGCTTTGGCTTGGAGGAGAGCAGGCTTCCCCGCTGGCAACCAGTGCGGAGCGTGTTCGGCAGCCCAGGCCTCGCCTCAGATTTTCTCCGTTCCCACAAGAGACGCGGGATATGGGGCACACCAGCACTCTCCTACGGATGGTGCCGGCAGAGCTGTCCTGGCACTGCGGCATTGTGCAAGGACGTCAAGAACTCCCTAAACCCAGAGCAGCAGTCACCCTGCCATCAGCATTCTCCTCTTCAAATTCTAATCCATCAAAGATCAACCGTCCCAGGTCACCTCTGTACAGCTCTAACTTACCCAGTGGGTTAAAAATTAATAAAAACCTAACCTCCTCGAATCAAAGTAATGAGTAATGTCAGAAACAGCCTTTTGCAGGCTCCATTCTTCATTGATCCTTCTTTACTGATCTTTATTATGCACGCACACACATGTTTTCCATTCTTTTTCCAGCCACGCTGCATGTTTATACCAACAGAAGTGACTGGCGGAAAATAATTCAGCTGTAGAATTAAAGCTAGGCGAGGTAAATGACCACACAAACAGACCAATAGGTAAATGTCAGTTCTCATATTTAATATTTTAATAATTTTGTTTGCAACATTTACCACATAAATCATCTAAATAAATAGATGCTGTACAGTCTCTTATCCATATCAGTACAAAAATAAAACCACACTTTGTGTCAAATTATACTTGAGCCTTCCCTCCCTTTGCTATTACAATCTCCTTTTACAGCACATACTCGCTCAGAAAAGGCATTATACTCCGATTGGTTTGTTTGGAATTGGTTTACTCCCTATTTCCCCCCCTCCCCAAATACATTCAATTAGTCTGTACAAAAGCTAGAAGCTCATTCTGTGCAAAAGGAAGCTTTCTGTGTGCAAAGACTCAGATACTCTAGCGTGCCGACAGGAACAACAGCAACAACTGAAGAGACGAGAACAAAAATAATTGGGGACCCTCCCTTCTAACTGACCCCATCCCCCATCTCCCCCCCCAACAGAAGGGAAGCATACCAAATTAGACGAGTCAGTCTGCAAAAGAGTCCAAACGATGTGCGTACGCTGAGGGAAAAGGTTGGTGCTGAAAACCCAGCGAGAGAACTGGGGTTCCCCCAGCTGTAGAGCTTGCTAGGTGAGGAAAAATGATTCTCTCATCTTAGCCTGCTCAAAAGGTTCTTAAGATATGCAGAACAAAAGCTTCATCTAAATGATTTTAGTTCTTTTGTTGCCGTTCTGTTGGAGATGAGGTGAGGAAACGGCCTCCGGAAAAATCCAGCAGCTACTGAAGACAGCTCCTGGTTCACCCTCCCTTCCTCTCCCCACTCCCTGTAGGACAGATGTCTCCCCGTTACTCAACTAAGCTAATAAGGTGCAATTTTTCAGACAGGAAACTCTATAAAGATGTCTCCAGAGCTGGAAGAAGTGATCGTAGTTCCAGACTAGGACCACTCAAACTGAAACTCAACTTCATTTTTCCCTTTCCTCAGACAAAGGAGGCGGGGAGGGAGGAAGCCAACCTGCACCCTGAAGGTGAGCGAGGGACTTCGCAGGTCTCCTCTCCTCCCTTAGGGAGCCCTCCTTTACTTGGCACGGTGGAGCACACTCCCCCTTCAGCCATGGGAGGGAGGCAAAGGGCTGGGTGGCAGCTCTGGAAAAATGATAAGGAGCAGCCAGCGGCCTGAAACAGATACATCTTTTGCTTTTCAAATGCCACTTTTATACAGACGATAAGGAGTACTTAGCACTCCTAGTGCTTTGCATTTCCAAAGTGCTTCAAAACGTACTTCAGATTTAAAAGCAAAAAAAAGCTGCTTAACATTTTGACAGATTTGCAAAAAAGCTTCTTTGTGCTGACACTACATTTTCTGGTTAAAAAATAATAATAATAAAAAAGGCTTTCTGCCTCCTCCAAAATCCCCCTCCCGGTCAAAACTCTGCTACCCCAGTAACAGATAAGCTGTGATAGAGGTTCCGAAGAGTCTTGCGAGCTCTCCCTTTCAACGTCCGACTGGCACTCTCAGGCAAGAACCCCTAGCATCTTTGCAGAGCAGCCCACAGCAGATGGAAGCAACCTCAGCAGGAAAGCTGCTGCCCCATCCCAACTTGGTGGCAATCCATCTCCCCCCATCAGCCATTACGTGCTCCCGCTGAGCTCTGCTCCTCTCTACAATTCCCAGTTAACTAGGGATCATCTCCCACCTGCTCCCTGCTAAGCCACTGCACTTTAAGAAATTAAGGGTGCAAGGGAAAGAGAGGTGGAAGAGAAAAAGGGGTCATCACTCCAGGAAGTGCTTGTTACAGGAAAGGATTTGAAGGGTCTGAATTCAATTTTAAGTGATTGCTTCTCTTCCCTTCCAGTTGTCCTGGGACTGTTTTGTAGGCCTTCCCATCTTGACCAGCTGCTTGGGTGGAATCCAGGTGGTTCGACACCCAGAAGGTTCATGCTTTCTCTGCACGGATGGTAAGTTCAGCAGGCAGAGGACAGTATGGTCTCTTGATCATAAGCTATTGTCTCAAAACAAGTTTACCATGCCCTTGGGGAAAACTGTTTTATGACAAGCAGGGCAAAAGCGACATGTTCCCTTTACCTGTATGTGCTAATGCTATACATTCCCATGTAGAAGTTACCCTACGCAAGCTGTTAACATACACATCTCCCTTGCTTTCCCAAATGGTAAAAGACAGATACATAAATGCAGCACTGACCATCTCCTCTCCACAGGGCCCGCTCAGAACTCTGAGGGGCGTCCACCCACTGCTGCAAGGGATCAGCTTCACTACAAGTTCTTTGCACTTCTAACATGCCTTCTCTCTCAACTGCCAGCTCACCCAAAGGCCTGTCCTTAACCACCTAGCAAGAGCAACACTGAGGCAACTCCCTCCTTTCCTTCCCTGACAAGCAGCTGCCCCTACTGTTTTCCTAGAAAGGCCCACTTGCCCTCTTCTTCCTAAGCTGCAGGTAAGCAAGGGAGGAACAGAGGACAGGTGGATACCAATTAGCTTTAGAAAAGGAGGTTTTTGCACTTTCTCTACTTCAGAAAGCACAAACTTAAAGCTTGAGAGGAAAGGAGGGGGTGGAGAGGTGGTGGTAGATTTAGCTTTGCTCAAATACATGGATGTGGCTGAGAGCACTCACTGCTGTCTTCCGCACCCTGGCCTCTGTTGTGGCTACCACCGAGGGTCTTGCATGAGCTACCCTGCCTATTTTTTGACCTGTGCGAGGCCTCCCTTCTCTATTCCAGTGAAACCATCAAACAGCACTAGCTGGCGTACAGCAGGAAACAGTACTGGGGCCAAGGGCCCCCTGTGAGGTGAACAAACAATTTTATACATTCAGCCACAAAACACCAGAAGAACAATTCTGGACAGTTTCACAACACTAACAACAAAAAAAAGCCATTCATTTCTCCATAAGCTTCTTTCTGTCTGAGGCTCCGACATAAGCAAGGGTCAATTCGCTAACAAATTTGGGCTTATTTTGGCAAACGGAACTGCTTTTGGGTGTTCTCACAATAATATCCTGGCCTTGCTTGAAAAAGGAAAAAAACAAACAAACAAAACCCACCTTGGCCTGACTTCACAAGCAGAAGGGCCCCCAAGCAAATGCAAGACAACAAGGAGCATGCAGGAGCTACGAGGCTACTTAATGCCACTATTTATGTGTTAAAACTTGCTGTTCCAAGGCATCACTTATATATCAGAGCAATAACATCTAGTTTATAACAATCCAGGAACAGAGGCAGTCCTTTTATTTTTTTTTTTTTTTTTTTAATTTTTTTT